CCCACTCCACTCAAGCACACAGAGCGACGTCCGGCTTCAAGGTAAGCGTCAGGTCAAGCTTGTTTGAGTGTGTTATGCCTGTCGGTGAGCTCGAAGCTCTGTAGCGAGGGTTCATCCGTCAAGGCCAAGAGACTTTGTGTATGGGCCGATTATTATCGGGAGGTTTTACGTGACGGCTTATTGTTGCCTATTTGCACGACTGGGAGTGCTTGAATTGCCTCCCTTTTATTTCTTCCAGCCGAGTGTTGAACACTCGGTGATCTCGTAAAAGGCTTACCCGTGCCTGGTACCCTTCCGCTGTTGGGACCACGAGGATTCAAAACACCTGCTAGCTTTGCTCGTGCTAGTAGCGTGTTCTTATTTTACTGGTTGGTCTATATAAGTAGTTTACAAGGTCCAGTTTGTCCCGGTGCAAGGGCAGAACTGGGGTCTTCAGGTCCGCCCGAACGATCGTTTACTATCCTAGTAGACGTATTGTTGTGGGAACATCCTAACTACATCTGTAGCTAGAGTTCACGTGGGATTTCCAACACCACAGTACCTTCCAACGGTGATACCTCTGGTAAATCATAGTTGTCGTCCACGTCAAGGCCCGTATTCGCTGAGTTCACTGCGATGACCGATCTCTTCATACTCTCCTTCACTTGCATCTCCGCTCTCGCTCTCCTGGTCTTGGCCATCCTCGTCGAACTGGACGGTTCGTCCCACCTCCATCGTCATGGCGATGAGTCGTTGATCCGCCGGGTCCGACCCCGCGAGAGGCGATCCTCCAGCCGTCGCTGGGCTTCCGTCGCTCGGAGTTGCTGATCCCTTGACCATCTTCACTCTTCTCTTTCTCTTCTCTTCCTCTTAACTTGGTTAGCTGGCACCTATAAAAACAAGCACACACTCCTGTTCCCGGGTCGCGGCACCAGTTGTGGTGTAGTAGAACACACAAATACCGTCAGATGTGGATTCCTTACACAAACCACAACAATTCGCCGAGTTAGGTGGGCGGTTGTATGGCCTGCGCAGAGGGTGGTCCCCTCGCGGTCCGGCCCTTCCGGGACAGACGAGTGGCTCGCTTCCACTCGGTTCCGACTAACCAAGTCAGATCACTTCCGAGGCTCCGCCGAGTTTGATTCGGCTGAGCTCGCTCACAGCCCTGTGCCCTCCACCAAAGGATGGACGACGGCGCGCGAGCGCTTTTACAGGTCACCGAGCGCAGAGGCTGCTCAGCTAGAAGTGTTACGGCACCCGGGCTATCCGACGTACCGGCCCGCTGAGTATGCGGGACTTTCTTTCGCGCGTAGCGAGACTTTGTCCTACCCGGACCGACCTAATCTCTTGGCGCTACCAGTCAATACCCTACAAGCTATGCCTCTCGAGTATTGACGGCAGGCATAATCCAGCCCTATGCAGGGACTTACCGGAAAAGTGTACACGTGTCTTGGACTAGGAAAATTCTGCTCTGTTATCTTCTGGGAGCCCTTTCGGCTCCCCCTATTTAATCCTATGCTCCTCTTACAAATATCTAGTGAAATGTAGTCGTTTCGGATCTCTACCGACCCCTCCGCTGAGTTCCGGCGACCGTTGAGCTCAGCGGCTATCCGGATAGCATATCCGGACAGATCGCCGAGTACTTACCGTGATCCTTTGCTCCTAAGCTCTGCGTTATCAGACCGAGCTGATTCCTGACCTAAAGTAGGTTGGCGTATGGTCGAATCTAGAAATCCCTACACCACAGTACGTGGTTACATCTTGCTTGAAGACTTTTGCGGATGCAGGTTCGCCGATACCGGCTAAGTTTACCGAGCGATAAGATGCTTATACATGCCAAAGCCGCTGGACATCTTACTTTAAGGTGTTCAGGAAAATCAGGGAACAGCGTCAGCGAAGCCCGCGCCATCAGAGAGCAGGAAGAGAGACGGGATGAGCGCCAGCTTCGGTTCAGGGAAGCGCAATCGGCTGTGCGCAAGGAGTTGCTTCTGCAACTTCTGCAGCGTGGCAAGACCGAAGACGAAGCTTTGTCACTTGTTGACCAAATTGCGCCGCTGTAGCAAGCCACAGATCCACATGAAGATCTTTGTAGAGCCTTAATCCAACAGAATCACACAACACCAGCCAGGAAGAAATTATCTTGTGGAGCCCGTGTGGTCCGCGAATTGCGCCACTTCGGCTTGGTGCTCCGGGCTACGGTGCATCGCGCGTGAGTTCCCCTTTGAGTTCGTATCGCTGAACTGTTGCCTATTGGGGCCTGCTCACCAGCACCCAGCACCGCGCGGCGACTCCTTCACGCGCGGCGGCTCCTTCACGCGCGGCAACTCCTCCACGCGCGGCAACTCCTTCACGCCCTCACTCCCTGCGACTCGTTCACGCGCAGCGACTCCTTCACGCGCGGCAACTCCTCCACGCGCGGCAACTCCTTCACGCCCTCACTCCCTGCGACTCGTTCACGCGCAGCGACTCCTTCACGCGCGGCAACTCCTTCACGCTTACACGCGCGGCAACTCGTTCACGCCCTGCGACTCGTTCACGCGGGGTTACGGGTTACAAGCTAATTATCAGGTTTTTGTGGCAATTTAGTGGTGTTTCAGAGCTGAAAGCCCCCTCATTTTTCGACAAAAATGAGGCTCATCTCCACCAAAAAAAAATCCAAATTAATGACAACTTTGAAACCCCCTAATCCAAATGAACTATTCTTTGAAAGCTAAAATATGTTCTATTTGCAAATCCTATATGGTCTACCCGCGTGAAAATGGAGTGCAGTACTGTACTTCTGAAGTAGTAATACTATTTGACACTAAAAACTGAGAAAGGTATACTGTAAAGTGGTCAATTTCTAATTGGATAAAGTACAGTACTGTACTTATCTCTTTTTCTAAAAAGCGTAAGTTTGTAATAAGAAAAAATTAGAAAATACAAGTTGCAAATCTAATATTTTAACAAAAATGCTTACCGTATTCCTTATGTGATTGGCGACAGTCAAATTCTTGAGGTGGTCCAGCCTTTCTGCCAGCATAAAAGATACCTGCATAGAAAAACTATTTTACATGCTCAAAATTATATTGGTCGCCAAGCACATAAAGCGCGACGACACGAAATTTAAATCAATTTGATTGGCTGCTGGATTTGTCGCTAATGACCGAGCGTCGCCAATCACATAAGGAATACGGTATGTCATTTTCATTAGGTGGCTGTATTTTGTACAGTAATTGTCTTGAATCCTTACGACCATTATTTCCGACGTTTTCAGATGAAATTGTTTCGCGGCGAAAAGACTAACTGTAAACGTGAGTGCAGCGGGTTTGATTCCGAAGAGGGGGTCTTAAAAACGACTACCATTTCTAGTGCCTATTGAGGCCTCTCACCTCCTTGTTCACAAGTTAGCAAATCTTCAACCCTTCAGGGATATTTTGTGAATTTGTACAACAACAATAATACATAAATGGCAGGTATCCCCTAATGCGGAGCTGCAAGGCCAAGAAGACCACTTATTAATAATGCCAGCACTACGTTGATAAAATAATATCTTCACATGCAGATCTTTGTTAGGCCTCTACTCTTCCGTAGGCTCTCATTTCTGCTCTAGCGTATCATGCCCTCTACGTGTGGTGGAAAAAGTCAGCATTAGTAAGACATGTCCTATACTCGTTTTGCGAGTTTTTTCTTGCGATCACGGACGGTCACAGTGCTAAAGGAGCACAGTCCACTGAGCTTGCTGAAGACCAGCCCTTGCAGGAAGCCAATATTGAGACGTAGTGCAGGTGATGCAAGCTTCTATTTAATCATTTACACCGGTATGAGTGAAATAATCGTTACTCTTTAAGGCTCATCCACCAGGGCGATGCCATGAATGTATCGTATGATTTTTAAACCTATAGTACATGGACCGGTACTACTGCCTTGCTAAAAAGTAAGATAATAAAGAAGTTTTTTCGGCGAAATTTTCGCGTCCGCAAGCACTAAATACTGAAGCATACGCGTTTGGGATCAATGGTCCGTGATTTTGGTCCCACCTTTTGTGTCACGGTTGTCTTCACAGGAAACGGCCAGCATCAGCAGTACTCGATTGCGCGCATCTTCGGACCACGTAACGAGGCCGAGGGCTCGCTTCCTGCCCCAGGTCAGGAGGGCCCAGCCTTACATTTTCACATCTTTCGTGTCGCGCATATCGCTTCAACCTGGGGTCAGGGTCTGCATTGCTTGCGCCGTTTACGCATTCGTCTCCAACCACGATTACGCCCGCGAAACTCCTGGTTGTGAAAAAAATAACCTCTGCACAATTCACCATCTCATCTATCACTTTGCAACTTGTTGCCTAGTGCTCAAGAGGAAATCAGCCAAGCACTATCAATGGAGGTGCCACAGCTTACGCGTCGAAAACCCAAGGAGCTGCCGCCACTTATCGTGGAGCCGGAAGATGAAGATGATGCCTTTTCTGCAGTACCCGTCGAACAGATGAGTGCTCGAGGAGTGTTCTTGCTCGCGATGGCTGTCACCTCCTTCGCAGCCTTCACTCTCTTCGCTCTAGCGGAGCTCACGCACCATCACCTAAGTTTCCTGCTCGCTGGTGTCCTACAGGGTGATACCCATGCTGCTGCTCAGTGGGCGCTACTGCTGGCCGTTCCTGCCACCAGTGCCGCTGCCTGGTTCCCGATCTCCATCTCGCACGCCCCCACGGGAATGCTACGTATCACATCAGCAGTCCCACCACCGACGCCTGAGTCACCCGCGCTGTCGCTTTCGCCCACGTCGTCGATGTTCACGAAGCTCGCAAGGAGATACCGTCGCAATCACATGTTCGCCATCTACCAGAGCGTGGGATGGACGCTGTACGACCTGTTCGTGGCATTGCAGGCCATCTGCTTCAGCTCTGACAAGGTGCGTGACCTGCCGTTCTGTCGGCCTGGTAGTCGCTCCGTGCAGGCGGTGGCAGCTTTCATCGCCGAGGTGTTGATCATCTCGTCCGTGCTGACGCTGGAGAAGCGTCGGGATCGCAATCGGCAGCGTCGAAAGGACCGGTTCGTGGTGCAACTTAACAACTTCAACAACATGTTGCTGTTGGTCGGAGCGACGTTGCTGGCTCTGGCGTCCGAGTATACACGTGTGTTCCCGCACCCGTCTGGAAGTAGTATGGGGTACCCGATGGCGACGGGACTGGGGTCGTTGGCACTTTTTGTGACGGCGCTTTTCAACACGTACGGTCTGGGCGGGGTGTTGTCGACGAAGGACGGGTGGAACTTCTACCAGCCTTTTGTGGGTGGAGCACGTTTCGTGCTGTTCCAGATCGTGTCTTGGACGTGCTTCGGTGCTGGGGCCGCGTTGCAGGTGCTTTATTTGCTTTCGCTTGTTGTTGTGGAGCTGGAATTGTTTGTTGGTGCGATGGCTGTTGCTGGCTCACTGTTTGTGGTCGCGGAGATCGGCATGATGATGTCGTTGCTGGTGTTTCGGAAGGCAGGGCAATCACCAAAACGTTCGGGTATCAGCCCCTCTGTTGCTGTAGAAACACCGATAGCTGTGCAAAAGAAGGATGAGATTTCGACAGTAGCTACGTCTCCGCGGCTTCTAAGTTTTCACGAACGCATGCGTGATTTTGCCGACGAATCCCTGGGTGTACTTGTCGTCGGGGGACTGGCTAACATTCAGTTCATTCCGAATGCGCTGCTGTTTATCTTTTTCGCTGCCACAACAAACTTGAGTCCTGCAGGTGTTGCCTTCTACGGCGTCATGGCGACTGGTATGGAGTTTGTCGTGGTGGTATCTCGCTCCATCGCGACCCATTTGTACCTGAAAGACTCACACAACGGGCTGCTGAAAGAAGTCAACCGATACCATGTCAAGTATGTGCTACCCCAGATTGTCACTGCCTGCCTTCCTGCAGTAGCCACATACCGACACTATATTTACGACATGGAAGCGTTTGTGCCAGTGCTGCTACTCACCATTTTCATCTACATCTACGAGCTCACGTACCGCGGAAATCCTCAACAAACAGGCTGTCGCGAACGTGCTAGCTGGGTTACCGGTCGCAGCTTCCTTGTTGATACAGTCAAGAGATATTTCAGTGGAACTATTATTCGCATGGCACCACTTGACCCCGAGAAGCAGTATGTACTGAGCTTCCACCCGCATGGCATCATGCCGATCTCCGTCATGTGGCTCCAATTCACAGCGCAATGGCGAAAACTGTTCCCGAACTTTTATGCGCATATCTTGACGGCGAGTATTCTACATCAAATTCCACTCGCCCGAGACGTGCTCCACTTTTACGGCTCGCGTGAAGTTACACGATCGGCATTTGCTTATACACTGCAGCAGAAAGAGAGCGTGCTGCTTGTTCCTGGTGGCCAAGCCGAGATGCTGCAGCAGCAGTCAGCTAAGAACGAGGTGCGTGTATACACCCATCATAAGGGTTTTATCCGCCTCGCAATCGAGCACGGCGTACCGCTTGTACCAGTGCTGAGTTTCAAGGAGGGTGAGATGATGGACAACGTCCAGGCTCCTATGCTACAGCGTTGGTTTGTCAAGAAGCTCGCATTCCCGTTCCCGTACTTCCCGTACGGTCGAGGAATGCTGCCAATCCCGCGCAAAGTTGATATCCCCATCGTGGTTGGAGAACCTCTTGAGGTGCCGCATATCGAGCATCCTACTCAGGCTAACATCGACGAGGTACATGCCAGGTATTTTGCAGTGCTTCAGGATATGTTCGACAGGTACAAGGACGAAGTTGGTTGTGGCGACTACAAGTTGGTTCTTATCTGAGATAGTACAGTAGTAGTATAAGTACATGAAGCGAGATATAAACTTTTTCATTAACGTTTTTGTCATGCTCAAGCACTGTAGAGGGCATGTACTGTAGTACTACGTAGTATCATCAAAGCGTTTTCATCTCGATTAAAGCTCAAAGCTCGTTAGACTTGTTCAAAATTCTTTGCGACTCTTTTGATCTTCGCGGAACGATGAAGCATAATTTACAAATTGCTACAGTCCCATGGTAACTTAAAATATTTAAAGGCTTTGAGTGCCTACGCATCTGGCTTCACTACATGTAGTAGGGACCTTATTTTTCTAGTGTTCGGGATGATTCTCAAGTTAAGAATCTCAACAGCGGCGACAATAATCTGTGGGTAGAGCGCGATTGCATGTGTTCACCGAACACTGTTCAGCAGGGAAGCTTTAGCTGCACCCTTGTCTTTCTGCTGCAGAACGGGTTGAACTGGCAGCTCTAGCAAAAAGCACTTGAAAACTTGCACACAACGAAAGTCGTGGTATCGTTACGTCCTACCTGCACAGCATACGCGAGCCTTTTCCCAAAAGACTTCCGAGCCGTCTTCAAGCAGCTACAGAGCAGCAGCTGGCAAACCATCAGATGCTTGCATCCCTGCCGTACGAGTTTGCATTGCAAAATTTGCAAGGGCTAGTACGCCATCAGCATTTCTGCCGTGTGGAGTCCAAGCCAATGCAGCAATTGAAGAATCGCAAGACCAAGCCGCTACCTCCTCCAATCCTAGAGGCCGATGACGAAGCGTTCACCAACTTACCCGTTGAGCGCATGAATTCACGTGGTGTATTTCTGCTCACGATGTCTGTCGCTTCCTTCGCAGCCTTCACTCTCTTCGCTCTAGCGGAGCTCACGCACCATCACCTAAGTTTCCTGCTCGCTGGTGTCCTACAGGGTGATACCCATGCTGCTGCTCAGTGGGCGCTACTGCTGGCCGTTCCTGCCACCAGTGCCGCTGCCTGGTTCCCAATCTCCATCTCGCACGCCCCCATGGGAATGCTACGTATCACATCAGCAGTCCCACCACCGACGCCTGAGTCACCCGCGCTGTCGCTTTCGCCCACGTCGTCGATGTTCACGAAGCTCGCAAGGAGATACCGTCGCAATCACATGTTCGCCATCTACCAGAGCGTGGGATGGACGCTGTACGGCCTGTTCGTGGCATTGCAGGCCATCTGCTTCAGCTCTGACAAGGTGCGTGACCTGCCGTTCTGTCGGCCTGGTAGTCGCTCCGTGCAGGCGGTGGCAGCTTTCATTGCCGAGGTGTTGATCATCTCGTCCGTGCTGACGCTGGAGAAGCGTCGGGATCGTAATCGGCAGCGTCGAAAAGACCGGTTCGTGGTGCAACTTAACAACTTCAACAACATGTTGCTGTTGGTCGGAGCGACGTTGCTGGCTCTGGCGTACGAGTATACACGCGTGTTCCCGCACCCGTCTGGAAGTAGTATGGGGTACCCGATGGCGACGGTACTGGGGTCGTTGGCACTTTTTGTGACGGCGCTTTTTAACACGTACGGTCTGGGCGGGGTGTTGTCGACGAAGGACGGATGGAACTTCTACCAGCCTTTTATGGGCGGAGCACGTTTCGTGCTGTTCCAGATCGTGTCTTGGACGTGCTTCGGTGCTGGGGCCGCGTTGCAGGTGCTTTATTTGCTTTCGCTTGTTGTTGTGGAGCTGGAATTGTTTGTGGGGGTCATGGCGGCAGCAGGGTCACTATTTGTATAGGCTGAGATCGGCATGATGATGTCGTTGCTGGTGTTCCGGACGTCTAGATCAAAGCAAACGCAGGCTAATAAATTAGCTGCTGAGTCCGACGAGAAGCTAACGGATACGTCTCCACGAGAACTTACCCAAACAGCCGGCTTGTATGAACGTCTGCATGATTTTGCTGATGAATGCCTTGGAGTCATGGTCATCGGAGCACTCGCCAGCATCCCAATATTTTCATGTTCGCGCTGTTCGCTCTTACAACGAATCTCAGTCGTTCCGACGTGCTTTACTACGGCTTAATGGCGTGGGGCGTCGAAGGCGCCATGCTGATGTCTCGCTCGATAGGGACGCACATGTATATAAGAGATTCACACAACGGCTTGCGGGAGGAGGTGAGCCGTTACCATGTCAAGTACATGCTGCCTCAGGTTGTCACTACGTGTCTTCCTGCTATTGCCACTTATCAGCATTACATGTACGACATGGAGGCTTTCGTCCCAGTGCTGCTCCTCACTATCACAGCTTACATGTACGAGTTCACGTATCGCGGACACCCGCACCAAACGGGCTGTAGAGAGCGTCTTGATTGGATATATGGTCACAGCTTTCTCATTGAGACCGTCAAGCGGTACTTTAGCGAAAAGATAATTCGCATGGCACCCCTGGATCCCAAGAAGCAATATGTACTGGGCTTTCATCCACACGGCATCACACCGACCTCAGTTATGTGGCTCCAGTTCAGCGCAGAATGGCGAAGGTTGTTCCCGAACTTCTACGCGCACATTTTAACTGCCGGCATTATGCATGCACTGCCACTTGCTCGGGACATCCTTCAGTTCTTGGGGTCACGAGAAGTTACCCGACAAGCCTTCACATATACTCTTCAGCACAACGAGAGTGTGTTGCTGGTGCCGGGTGGCCAAGCCGAGATGTTAGAGCAGCGATCTGGTCAGAAGGAGGTTCGGGTGTACACACATCACAAAGGTTTCATCCGCCTCGCAATCGAGCATGGAGTACCGTTGGTCCCCGTCCTCAGCTTCAACGAGGGCGAGATGCTGGACAACATCCAGGCTCCCATGCTCCAGCGCTGGTTCGTTATAAAGCTCGCGTTCCCATTCCCATTTTTCCCCTACGGTCGTGCATTGCTGCCGATCCCGCGCAAAGTACAAATTCCTATCGTGGTGGGAGCACCTCTGGAGGTGCCACACATGAAGAAACCCAGCCATGAAGATATCGATAAAGTCCACGCCAGATACTTTGATGAGCTTCGTGACATGTTCGCAAAGTACAAGGATGAAGCTGGATGCGGCGACTACAAGCTCATTTACGTCTGAAAGAATGAATTCCAATAACAAAAGCACAACGATGAAATTTGCGAATGCAGCTAAGAGAAAAAATGTTTTACCTTGGAGCCACAGTGCTTTGCCAGCAGTCCGTTTTATGGGTTAAACACACCGGCAAGCGCTTCAAAACGCCCGCGACGCTGGGTCTGCTCTGGGAACTGCTGCCACGCTGCCTCGACTCTTCCGCGTACTTTTGACAGATCAGAAGGCACCGGGCGCTGGAATTGCTCAGCGTATTGGTGCCAAACGTTAGGCGGCACCAGCGCTGCATACGCCAACATGATGCAAGCGCGCCACTTGCTCAAACTCTTTTCCCACGCTGCGAAGATTGATGCATCGCCTGGAGCCTCACACGCGCGCCCCGAGACCTCCTGAACTTCTTCGTAGGTGGGTTCAAACGCTGCTTCGCATGATACTGCGTTGTAGAAAGCTGCATCGAAAGGAGGCAGCGATGCATTCCACGCCGCCAATGCCTTTTTCAGAGGCTCCGGCAGTTCACTCGGGTCCTCACCACCAATTTCATTGGATGCAGTTGAGTTGCCGCCCGTACGATCCAAGTTAGGCGCCGTGAACTTCTGCAGGAAAGCAAGACATTCGTGCTTTCGAGATGGGATGTAGTCACTTGCAAGTTTTCCCAGCTGAACATGGCAGTAGTAAGCAATATGACAAGAAGACAGGTTAGTAGACAACGCTAAGGTTCACGGGCACTTCTTGTAAGTTCCAACGAACCGAATTGGTGATAGTGACGTTCACGGGCTTGTTACTCATGAGCTCCTTCAGCATATCCACAGTCACTACGTCGTTCTCACACAGATAATGGACGGGCGTATTTCCAATCTGTTTCGTATCAAGGGAAATATAAAAATCAGGAAGAAAGAAAATTACTTTTCTCCCGTTTTGACACGTACATTGTTCTTGATGTTGAAATTGGCCTTAAACTGCAGCAGCTCGCGAATTATGAGCTGCGTCACGCGACTGTTCTGGCAGATGTAGTGCGCTGGCGTAGATTGAAACTAAGGCGCGTCCGAGATACATCAGCATTTGCTCACAACTAAACAATAACAAGTCAACGTACATGATTTTGGATGTTGAGATTCGTCGCTGCCGTCAGCAGAAGGCTGAACATACGATTCGTAACGTAGGCGTTCTCGGCCAAGTAATGGAGCGGAATGTTGCCATCCTACCACCATGTCACCAAAACAACCTCAGCCACTCTAAAATAAACGTCAGTAAACAGCTCCACCAAGCTCTAACCCCATCCACAGAATTCACATCCGGCTTGGCCTTAAGCAAAGCTTCCAGTGCGTCCTCCGAGACCGCCTCGTTCTCGCACAGAAAATGTAGCGCCGACTTCTTGTTGTCCTGCAACATGAGCAGCGAAACCTCAGTCAGCGAGACGACTATTATGCACACTAAGCCTACAACAACCGACGTACAGACGTCTGCAGGTTCACGTTGGCCCTGGCCGCCAGTATCAGCTGGATACTGGGCACGAGATCTCCGTCGCCGCCGCTTTTGTTCTGGCACAGAAGATGCAACGCGCTACATCCGTTCTGGTCAATTGCAGCGTATTGACTTCTGTTAGTACTGATCAACCGTTACCGCTTCCGGCTTGCTGGTCACCCACCTCGTCCACAGCGTTGGCGTCGAAACCCGCACGCAGCAGCAATTGCAGCCCCTCAGCGCGCGATGTCGGCCCCACCGACCGATTTTCACACAAGAAATGCAGTGGTGTCCATCCGTCCAGCAACATGGAGGGGTCAACACCAGCGCCGAGTGCAGTCTGTAGTTTAAAGACCTCGCAGGAGCCCTGCACTTCATCCCACAACGCCGCGTGCTTCGCGTTCATCTTGTCTTCAAAATGAGGGAATCAGATGACGAAATCTGAGTCAGTTTTTCCTCGTTTGAGTGACTATATCTGATTCCGGTGCTTAATCGTGCTGTGATTGGCGGATGTGTAGACGAAACCAAAATTGAAGATGACGACTGCCAAGATCCGGGACCCCGCGACGTGCGCGGCGCTAGACGAGTTCCACACGCACCATGTGGATCTAGAGCTAGAAATAAACATGGCTGCGAAACGTGTCACTGGTGTAGCCACTTTGGCCGTCAAGAGGCTCAATGAGACGGCGACAACTCTGTGTCTGGACGTGTTCCACTTGACCATCCGCTCGGTATGCGTCGCCCTGCCTGAAGAGGACACGATCGCAGCCCAGTGGACCGTCAAGCCCTTCACAGTCTTCGGTGAGATGCTGGAAGTCGAGCTTCCGGAAGAATTGGCTCTTGCAGCTGCCTTCGAACTCACGATCCGCTACGAGACGGACACGGAAAGCCCGGGAGTCTGCTGGCTCGAGAAAGAGCAAACAGCGGGCAAGAAGCTTCCATTCATGTACACTCAAGGACAGGAAGTACTCAATCGCAGTTTCTTTCCGTGCCAGGACTCGCCGTCCGTGCGAGTTACGTACACTGCCTCGGTAGTCGTACCTAAGGAGCTGGTGTGTGTCATGAGCGCCAAATTGTGCGGAGTCGATGACTTTGTACCCGGTGAAGAGGGAGAAAAGGACGTAATTCCTACTAAGAAGAAGTTCACCTTTGAGATGAAGCAGTCGATCCCGGTGTATTTGGTGGCGATGGCAGTGGGAGACTTGGTTGAAGCTGAAGTTGGCCCACGGTCGAGTATTTGGACGGAACCTTCCATGATCGATGCTGCAACGAAAGAGTTTGATGGTGTGCTGGAGGAATACCTGACTATTGGTGAACGCCTATTCGGGGATTATCTGTGGGAGCGCTACGACATGCTGGTCATGCCGCCATCCTTTCCATACGGTGGGATGGAGAATCCAAGACTAACGTTCGTGTCTCCTTGCACCATTGCTGGTGACAAATCCCTTGTGTCGAGTACGTCAATCTATCGTTGTAGAAGGAGCTAATTCTCTCTTTGGCTGTGTCTTGTATGTAGTTGTAGCGCACGAGCTGTCCCACTCGTGGTTTGGTAACTTGGTGACAAATGCAACGTGGAGCGACTTCTTCCTCAATGAAGGCTTCACGATGTACGCTGAGCGACGCATCACCGAGGTATCACACGGCAGGTAAGAGCTTGTGTTGGCGACGGAGCCTTATAATGATGTTGCTGCTCCTCAACTTTGTTTCTGGTTACTGCTTCATCTTAGACCCTTGAGCTGTCTCAATGCCAAACTTGGGGAAGCACTGTTGCGCGAGGAAATATCCTCTCTTGGAGAACAGTCGCCTTTGACACGTTTACGAGTCCCGCTTGACGAAGGAATTGATCCAGGTGATTGCTACAACCAGTGCGCATACGAGAAGGGCTACGCGTTCGTGTGTTATCTGCGAAGTCTCGTGGGATCCGATACGGTAAGCATGTTTCCTGTACGTTTGGTCTCTCCAATGTACTCAAGTGTTCTGTTCTGCGACCTTGCAGGTGTTTGATGATTTCCTCAAACGCTACTGCGCTGAATACCGCTTCCAGTCGATCCCAGCGGAGACTATGATCGCCTTTTACCTCAAAAGCTTCCCCGAACTAGCGAACGCTGCTGGGACGGACCTCAAGGACGGGATTTCCTTCAACACGTGGCTCAACGAGCCAGGTTATCCACCGTTCACTCCAGATCTATCGGACGCCGAAGGAATCATGCAAAACTGCGAGTCACTAACATTCCACTGGCGGTCATCGTCCACCCCAGTGCAACCAAGTGTGTTGTACCTGTCAGAAGAAGCCAAGCAATGGGAGGCCCAACCAGTGCTTTATCTCCTGGATTGCTGTCTGGAGACGAAATTTTCAGACGCTGACGTGGTAATCGCTTTGGGCGACACTCTTTCTCTTTGGGACTCACATAACTCGGAGATTCTATTCCGGTGGGCGCTGGTTCTTATCAAGAACGACGTCACCACCAAGCTGTCCGTTGTGCACCGGTTCCTGGAGATGCAGGGCAAGCAGAAGTTCCAGCTCCCAATCTACCGCTTGCTGACAGCAAGCTCCAACGAAGAAGTGCGCAAATTCGCTGTCGACACCTACACTGCGACGAAAAATATGCTTCACGTCATGGTGCGCGACCGCATCGAGTTGCTACTTGCCGCCATGCAAAAATAAGGGCGAAGTTGGCAGGCGTTGAGTGCCTCGCAAATTTTCGTGATATTCTTCATGGCACTCTCCTTTGACCCCATATTTCGTGTATGCGACTAACTCATTTATTGCTCCTGCTCTTCATTGCCGCCCGCACCCTCTCGAGCTCTTGAGAGAACTCGTTGACACTAAGAAACACAACAAATTATCAGTTAACTCACGACTGGTTTTCAGTCCATTACGTCAAGCAATGTTTACCTCTTGATCGAGAGCTCGATATGTTCTTGTTCTTGTTCGTTAAAGCTCTTTTTCCAGCCCTCACCGGTAGCCGGCGCTGATGTTTTCGTCTCCTGCGCCGGTAGCGACTCCATTGTCATTTTTGTCGTGAAAATTGGTACAAAATTGTACCTTGTACCACTTTTTGAAGTTTCAAACAGGAAAAGCACCAGATAATGCAGCGCAGCTGGCGGCGATTCCGACAGCGGTACGTAGGCACCCCCACCTCCATTCAGAGGTCTGTGGACTGACACAAATATACTGCGATATCACTGTATTGGTGGCGTGCAGAACTGAGCTAGAGAACGACTCGGCGGATAGCAGCAGCGACTCAGATGTGGTGCTGGTGGCGAAGGTCGAGGAAATACGGCCACACTCGCAAGAGTTAAAGGCCGAAAAGGCAGAAAAGGCTTGGGAGTGCCCTATGTGCACATTCCTAAACGAAAATACCAGCGCTTCTAGATGCGAACTTTGCGAGAGTGTGCGCCCCGGACTACCGAGAAAGACGCGGAAGTTGTCGCAGTGGCTCTCTCAGCCAACACACACGACAGAACATAGAAGCGTCAAGAAGAAACAGTCGTCGGGTGCTCAAGAGCCAATTGAGGTGATTGACAGCAGTGATAGTGGCAATAGTGATGATGGTGCAAGTGTCACGTCGACGGCGTCGTTTAACGATGGAGCTGCTTCTCGACGGCGTAGTGAAAAGATGGCGGCTGACACAATGAATCAGGGCTTGTGGGCGGATTTGTACGCCCCGGAAACTGTAGATGACCTGTGTGTGAACAAGACGAAGGTGCAGGAGATCTCGGAGTGGCTGGAACGGAATGCGTCGCCGATCTCGGGTGTGTTCCAGAAGCGGCTGCTGATTTTGTGCGGTCCGCCAGGATCAGGCAAGTCAACGGCTGTACGCTGTATCGCTCCCAAGCTTGGCCTTCTTATCAAGGAGTGGGAAGACAACTCGGCTGCTGGAAAACTCAATTATGAACGCATGCTTCGGGAAGATTTTTGGACTCCGCAGGTATCTAGCGTTGACGATTTTTCGGATTTTATTCATCGCTCCTCAGCCTACGGTGCACTTCCGGTTGCTACGTCCCGGCACACATCTACTATTGGTCGCAAGCGCCGGCTGTCTAACACTCAGCAAGTTTATGGCAATTTTCAGACGCCATCAGTTAGTGCAGGGCAGGTTATTTTGATCGAGAGCTGGCCACAGTCCTGGTCGAAAGACAAGTCACTTTACGAGGAGAAACTTCAACGAGTCTATCAGCATGTGGTTGACCCGGCTGGTGGCTGCCGCTACCCTGTAGTTTGTATCTACAGTGACGTTCAAGGTAGTAAGATTGACTTGCATCATTTGAGCCGCAAGTTTTCTCGCGAAGTGATTCATTCGCCGCTGACTTCAGTCATTAATATCAACGCGGTGACGTCTGCGCAGCTCAAGAAACATCTATCTCGTGCTGCTACACAAGAGAGCTGTCCTTGTCAGCCTGCGGATATCCAGAATATCATCGACAGCAGCAATGGAGACATGCGGCATGCGTTGAATATGCTGCAATTACTGCAGAATCCCAACGTGAAGAAGCACAGAATTGTGCCCGCAACAGCTACCAAGAAGAGAAAAAGGAAAAACGGTTCTTCTGTGAAGTCAGAAACATCGTCGGCGACGAGCTCTAGCGCCCGTGACCCTTTTCTTTCGGATTTTCACGTTGTTGGAAAACTACTGCACGGTAAAATGCTGCAAAACAAATCTGCGGACGAGAGCGCGCTGAAAAATGATGTCGACTACGACCAGATTTTGAATGCATCTGCGATGCCACTTGACCGAATCCTTGGACTCGTTCACGAGAACAGCATTGCGTATTTTTCGCAAGTGGAAGATCTATCTGGTGCTCTCGAGCTAATGAGCTTGTGTGAAGTGATGGTTGCTGAATCGTACAGTGGTGCTAGCAGCTCGGAGGTACGATTCAATGCGTGTCTCGCTGCCTTGCATTAAAACCCATCCTTACTGATTGGACTCTGCTTTAGGCCGTCAAGCGCTCTCGGGATGTAGCTCAAGCCATTCTTACGCGAACTATTGCAGTGACGAACGAGAATCCCGCTCCGAAGGCATTTCGACCGATCACGCGGCCTCGAACATACACAACAAATCAACGTATTGTATCCCGCCGTGACGAAATGTTAGTTGCTACTCGAGGAGGCGAGCATGGGCTCCAACATGCGTGCACGGGTGACGTATTCGCTTTCGAAGTGGAACCCTTCTTGACAATCATGGATCGAGTCGGTGGGCCTGCTATTCGGCAAAATACGAGCACCTTCGCGATGGATACACTCTCACTCAAAGAGGAGGTGGACGATGAAATCGAGAACAGTGATGACGAGTGGTAATAAGTCACATTATAAACAGTTTTGAGCGCTACAATTTTCTACGGCTCCGGTGATGAGGATAAGTTAGATGCGTTTGCCATGGCAGCAGTAGATTTCCTTATGCTGCTATCGTATTCTTTCCGCTTGGCAAAGCTGCTGTTCTTGAATTTGTCACCTTGTCCCTCATTTATGGTGATAATTGTCGAAACAGTAGTCGAAGTGCTTAGTTCCTTCGGCTCATTGGGCACGTTTGACTTCACCTTCTTCGAAGTGCTCGTGACGCCAGGCGTAGCCACCTTCGCAGTAGTACCGAGCGGGAACGGCAACCCTTGCGAAGAAGTCACAACGGCATGCCCAGGACAGGGCTGGCTATCATCTTCTACTATGGGAGATGGCAGCTCCAGTAGCAGACTTGTTTCGTGCCCCACCCAGCGAACAATGTACTCGCCGTTGCGTTTGCGGTTCAGATCACCTTGTAGACGGCGAGTAGCTGCGTAGTGGTGACTGTGGCCTGAGTTTGGTCCATTCTTGTGAGCTGACCCATCGCCATCGCGTAGCTTTTTCTCCAGATTTGCAAGACGTTGATGGCAGTTGAGTTGGCCAAGCGAATGCTTGAACCATTCATACAGTGTCAGCGCCTTCGTGAAGCAGTTGTGGGCTCCTCGTAGATTTCCGTTGCGTGAGTGGATCATGCCGATCGCACTCAATGATGCGGCTTGCCCAATTTTGTTCCCTACAGTTTTGTACAATATGAGTGCTGTGCCGAACTGAGCCTTGGCCTCGTCAAACTTAGTCTCGGTTGTGAGTAGAATGCCCATCAGTTTACGGATATTCGCTTGACACAGGGTATTCTTGTGCTGTTTGGCGATGTGCAGCGCCTTGTTGGCCGCGTTCCACGCACCACGATGACGCCCCGACAAGAACAAGGAGTGCGCAAGATAACACGCGACGTCCATCACATAGCTTGCTATCTTCTCGCGCACGTTGATGCCATCGCTGTCAGCAGTCGGATGGGGATCCGTCCTCGTCGGTCTTGGCGACGGTGGCTTGCTCTCGGCTTGGCATTCTTCGATCATGCGAATGTGCAGATCCAGAATCATCCATAGGTTGGATTCGTGCAAGTCTAGTATCAAATACGCAGCACTGGATTCGGCTGTGAGCGTGCAGATGTGCTGGAGGACCCAGTAACTTACTTTGCGAAAGTGCCGCGCGGTATTATACAGGAAAAGATCACAGTCGGATACGCAGAGTGACTCCAACACCACGTTCTTGGCGCCGTCTCCATCGTACATGCCGAGCAAACTACGCGCATAACTTGCGATGAACGGGAACGTTGAGAACGAAACACATACAGCCATAATCTCTGCGTGGTCGTCCATACGCTCGACATGCTCGGACACCCGCGAAGCACGTCCACTGCGCGTCAGTGAGTTGAGCATGTGTCTGTCATTCAGTACACGACGAGATCCTCCTCTGCCGTTCGGAATGTCGTACTCTGCACTCTCAGCTTTCCCAGTAGACTCAGTAACGTTTTTGATGAAATCACTATAAGACTTCAGAGCTGCCAGCAAAGACTGGTCGTATCCACGGCTTGACGAGTGACGGGATCTGGATCTTCTGGAGCTACTGCTACCGATGCCGCTTGTTCCTGAAGCGCTGCGTTTGGGCAAACCTCGTTTGGCCAATGCGAATCCGGGAATGCGATTTCATTGAATCAGCGAGAATCGAAGAAGCGTTTCCACGAGTCCCTCCCAATTGCTTCCCCACAAACTCTTGAAATCTGCCGGCATTGCTCCAGCAGGAAGTAGCCCCAAGAGCGCAAAGAATCGAATAGCATCTTGGCCGTGATGCATCCGAACTTGCTCCAAGGACACATCCAACGAAGCTACCAGGGTATTTAATGCGCTGCGATCGTGCGCAGCGAGACCCACCACCTGTAGCTCGCTTACTCCACGACTGAGGACTGCCCGCGTCAGCTCGGATAGAGATCTATCCTGAAGCAAGGGAGCGCAGAGCGAAATCGCCTGTGGGTGACCGTCAAGAAATGCCATCAATGGATGAGATACCAGTACCCCCAGAATCGACGTAGACGAAGACTTAGCGCCACTTGTGTCAATTTCTCCGATTTCAGACACAAGGAGCGCGCGTGGCGACTTTTTGATGAACAAATCCGCTGCGTGATAGTGCGACAACCGATTCAGAGACACGACTTTCTCGTCAAACTCATTAATTCCGCCGCCCATTGCTTGACGCGCGGTCATCAAGAAAGACAAGGTCGGCGTACTATGCAGCAGTTGCAGCAGAAAGTCTCGAGTAGCGGATGGGTTCGAGTTTATCGGGTCTTCCATGTTGTCCATCACAAGTAACACTTTCATGTCCGCGAGTGCTTGATCGAGCGGCATGTCCTTCTCAAGACCGCCTTCAGGGAACAACGCGCTCTTGATAGCCGACTCCATGCCTTCAAGAGACTGAACACCACGCAGCCGAATGAATGCGACGCCATCAGGGAAGGCATTACGATCAGTCAGGAAGTGAGCGAGCTTAGTCGACAAAGTACTTTTGCCGATACCAGGAGGACCACGCAATGTCACAAGCCGCCGTGTGTTGACTAGTTCTGCCAGCATGTGCAGCTCTTGCTCTCTACCCACAAACGATTCGGCTACAGGAGGCAGAGTCTTGCTAAATTTGTTGGACGGACTCACATCGACCCATTTACCCACCGAGATGTCGGAGAACACAAACTGTTGTGTGGATGCGTTGCATCTGCAACTCTTCTCCTCGAAATCCACTTCAATTGCCTGTGGAACGTCCTCTCTCGACCAAAGTGGGCAGGTATCTGAATGTAACTGAGACGACTCCAATAATACAAATTTGTCTCCTTCACCTTCTGGAATTCGCATTTCGGCTCTCACGCGGACACGAGCGATCTCAAACGCCTGCTGGATCGTTTTTCCCGTCAAAGCTGCGTGGTAGAACGAATATGAAAACATGGCGGATGATTCGTCCAATACTCTGCCTTCAGACCGAACGCACACAACGTGTGCTACACCGGCTTGGATGAACACTTCACCGATGTCTTTCGAGTCACAGGACGAAACAAATACCAGTTTTAGAGTACCATTGATCGCGGGACGGCCAGTGATGCTGCGAGATGATGAGATCGGGGGTGCAGAATGCGATGACAGACCAGTATCACTGGGTGTTGATGTGGTACCGGTATCTTCCGTCATTTCAAGCGAGACACTGCTTTCCCTGACAGTTAGGTCCTCCACGACCGAAGAGCTCGTACCGCCGTTGAGAATGCTTCTCAGTGTCGTAGAGTCGACTAAGTGTGCTAGACCAGAGCACTGGGTGTCTTCAAACATGAGATATTGGCTTTGTCCCACAATTCGACCACCGTGTCCGCTAAAGTGCAGCACAGTCACACCACGATCCAAAACCTTCCGAAGAGCGTCTACCGTTGCCACTGCTCGCATCGTGTGCACTGCACGCTGACATTCCTGGAAGATCTTATTCAAGTGACTCTGTTCCTGTGCAATGTTCAACGGAGGCACGGGTTTTAAGCGATGGTTACTGTCATTCATAACGAACGGTAGCGAGTAAAGCGTGGCAAGATCCACCCACGTGTTGTGGATCCCATAGACACTGGACGTCTCGGTGATAGTCGTACAGTCAGAGAGGGTGTCGCTCTTGTCTTCACTGGTACTGGCTGTTGCTGCACCTCCTCTGTTAGGCTGCTCCACGCCGTCGATCATGCGCCTAGCGATGCGCTCGTTCACTTCCTCGTACATTTTCTCCTCGGCCTCGGTGGTCGGCACAACTTCCTTACGTGCTTCATCTTTTGTATCCCCTAGATCACCTTCCCCGTTGCTAGTAACAATTTCAGCCGCCGAGGTGACTGGAAACTCGGCAGTTCCATTGATAGATAGCGTCTCGCGTCCTCTGGCCAGCAAATCACCCGCCTGCTGCTGGATCTGCTCCAGTCGCGCCTCCGGAGACAGTAAGGGACGCACAGAAGGCACCGCTAGACTCTCCACGAAAGCCCACAGCTCTTGCTGAAGCGTAACGGCGGCATTCATTCCAATCCACGAGCAATGGGGTGCCGAGTCCACGCCGTGAATGACAAGCGTGGGGTAATCGAGATTCAACCCACTTATCTAAGTAAAAACGACCATCATTCCTACATTTTTGGGTGATTTGGGTCTTTTCAACTCAGATGGCTACTGTTACCGGTATACATTTTCGTTGGCCATCAGCATTATGAGCGACTTACAGGACTCTGGCGACGGCTTCTGGGGCCGCACAGAAGAGCGCGAGTTCTCGTATGTGGTGACGGTGCCCAGTAGTGGCGAAAATGTTTCATTAACGGCGGTGCAAGACCGAGATATATGCGCTGGCACGCCAGAGTTCCCGTCGCACGGCCACTGCGTTTGGGACGCCGCGCTGCTGCTCGCCGACTATCTCCAGAGCAAAGCCAAGGATGAAGAGGGTGAAGGTCGCTCCGATTTCCAAGACAAGAAAGTGGTGACATTGGGTGCAGGGGTCGGACTGGTTGGCATGGCGCTGGCTGTTCTCGGAGCTCGAGTAATACTCACGGATCAGGAATACGCGCTGCCTTTGCTGAACAAGAACGTGGCCGTCAACTTCTTACGTGGAGAATCGAACAAGTTGGCGGCGGCTGCTGCTATACCTGTGGTGGAAGAATGTCAATGGGGGGAGAATGTCAAGTCTGGAGGCTCTTTAGCGGCATGGGTGAAAGACACCGACGTGGTGGTTTTCTCGGACGTGCTGTATAATGCTGCAGCATCAATTTTACTAATCCAAACGCTGCACCAACTAGTGTCACCAACGACGGATGTGATTTTCAGCTTTGAGACGCGAAATGCGGCAATTGAAGCGAATTTCTTGCAGGAACTTAGGAGAACATTCGACGTAGACGAGGTGTCTCGCGTGAGCAATGCTAGGATCTTTGCTAGCTTCGAGTACCCGGACGAGCTTTTCATCTTTCACGCGCGCCCCAAGCAAGACTGGCGGTAATGTAAATACTACTACGTAGTACTTAGAAGTACTTAATAAAATGTTTTCGTATGTGACTTCTGTGTATTTTCACAAGTTGTACGATACTGTCTCTATAACCTAGATAACGAGACTGAAGGCATTGTAACGCTCTCAGGAGCTTTTACAAATTCCTTGTCACAACCGGGAAAGATCCGAGCTTGAAGTGGTATCTCCTTAGTTTTCTTGTAGACATTTTCAAGGAAAGCACACACAGCGTCGCCATGCCCCAATGCTCGTGGAGACACCAAGAAATTGAACATGTGACTGGCGTAAGGCACCTTAACAAAGACATCCTGTACACCACCGAGCTGCTTGTCTTGGTACGATGCAACATCATGAGGAAGATTCTGGCGATAGTGGAGCAATCGGTCGAAGAATACACTCGAGTCCCTGAACGGCACGGTGTTATCGTGGGTACCGTGTGTGATCAAGAAGGGAGGAATGACGTCACAACAACGTGCTGCACCGTCGTCGTCCAAGTAGGCGATAGGCGACGCGCGATCAAAGTCCTCGTGGTTGTCCTTGAGTTTCTTCTGCATCACCAAAAACTCGATATACTGGACAAACCCGTGGGTTTTGTCGCGAGAGTAGTAGATCCCGTGCCGGTCCTTAAAGTCATGAACGCCGTAGTTGTCGACAACTGCGCGCACACTTGTGTCCACGTCTTCGAAGCCAGGTTGCAGGGACTTATCATTGGCGGTAAGACCTACCAAACTAGCCAAATGTCCTCCAGCTGACTCCCCGCCCACAGCGATGAACTCTGGATTGGCATCGAACTCAGCTCGTGCGTTTTGGCGGAGGAAGCAAACAGCCCTCTTGCAGTCTATCAAATGTTTGGGGAACGCCACTCCAGGTGATAACCGATAGTCGATCACGCACACTATCCAGCCCATAGAGGCAACTTGGTAGACGCATGCAAACGGCGCGATACGGCGATCACCAATGATCCAGCCTCCTCCATGGATATACAGGAAGATAGGGGCATTGGACGGTGTATCTTGATGCTTGTAGACGTCCATGAGCAGCTTCATGGTTTTGGTTTTGCCGACGTGCGCATATGTAACTGTGCGGATCTTTCTGACACCAGGGTAGCTCAGTGACAAGGCCATGGGCTGTGGCAAAGGTAGTAACACGCTCAGCCACCGTTTCAATGTCATGCGACCGATATTCTGGAGCTGGTCTGGCGCAATATCCGACGAGAGGAATGCGCCGCGGAAAACTTCCTTCGACGAGATATTCTGTCGGTACCATGTCATAAGCTTCGCCGCTACTACGAACTGCACCAAACCAGCAAATGCGCCGCTCCAGCGTGAGAAAATAGGAATCTTCTTCTTGAGTAGAAAAGCTGTCAGACACGCGTGTACGACTGCGATCTTGTGCGCAAGCTCTGTGGGCAACAGTGACGCCGCCATGCCGAAGAAATTCTGTTTAATTTAAAAGCATCAAACACTTAGGGATGCATGTCCAGGTACCGCAACTGCATCGAGGCTTACCTCACGCGGGATCTTGTTGTTCTTGGCGCGCTCCACAACATACAATGTAGACGCGGCGAAAGCCAGGTAAGCCCAGCGTGTAAGGCGCTCGTTGTTCAAGTATGGCGTCGGGTCGAGAGGTTTGATGACCCTCATTGTAGCAGTTGATAAGTGGTTTGCACAGCCGTACTTGGAGAGACTCGTACTTTGACTTTTATTTCGTGCAGCTAGCAGAGTCTTCTGCAACTCTGGCTGGACCTTGGAATGTGGACCTCAACAATCGGGAGGCTAAGTTGATGATGACCGGGGGATGTCCTTGCGCGCCGTGCGCAATTTTGATATTCTTAGCCAATCAGAGGTACTGTACAGTAGTACGTTGTACTTCGAAGTACAGTTTAACCAAAGCAAAGAGACCCAAAATAATTTGCTTCAAAATGTAGAATATCCTGCGCTCGTGGAGTCGGTGGACCACGCCTCCTGGTGGACCAAGATCGAAACGATCCGTTCAATCAATAAACTCTGTACATATAACTCACAGTCGTGCAGTAGTGGTGGTGACAGCTCCAGCTGCTGCATCTGCCAGCTCTGCTATGTGCGCCGGCGCCAGATCTGATGCGCAATGCAGCGGAATGTCCTTAGTTTTTGCGTACAGGCTGTCCAGAAAGGCAACCACAGCTTGGCCGTGAGCCATTGCTCGCGGCGACATGACGTAGTTGAAGGCGTGGTGTGCGCCAGGGAGCTCCAGGAATACGTCACAAACACCACCGACGGGATCTTGCAGTGTGCGCTGTCGGTATAGCTGCAGCTGCTCGAAGAAGACCTGCGAGCTGCCGAATGGTACCAGTGTATCAAGCGTGCCATGTGAAATGAGAAACGGTGGGATGACGGCAGGGAGATCGCTAGCTTTCTCTTCGCGAAGCCATCCAACGGGCGATGCGTTCTCCCAGTCTTCATCTGCGTCGCTCATTTTCTTTTGCATGACCAACAGCTCGATGAAACGCACGAAGATGTGGTCTTTGTCCTTGTAGAAGTACACACCGTGACGATCCTTGAAGTCGTGGACGCCGTAGGTGTCGATGCAGCCGCGTACACTTGTGTCGACCTCCTCGAACCCGGGTTGCAGAGACTTGTCCGCTGGAGTCAGCGCCATCAAGCTCGCCAGGTGGCCACCAGCAGATTCTCCTCCAACGACAATGAAGTCCGGGTTGGCGTCAAATTTCTCGCGTGCATTCCGACGGAGGAACGCGATCGCACGCTTCGCGTCTATCAGCTGCTGAGGGAAGGCAATCTTGGGGGATTTCTGGTAGTCGAACACGCACACCACCCACCCACCAGCAGCAATTTGGTAGATGCACGGGAATGGGGGAGTCTCTCGAGTGCTCATAACCCACGCACCGCCGTGAATATACAATACGATCGGAGCATTTGACGGCGTATCTCGGTGCTTGTATACATCCATTAGCAATGGGGTAGTTCTGTTCTTCCCGACATGGGCAAAAGTCACTGTCTGCACCTTGGAGACTCCTGGAAATGCCATCGCCAGTCCCATCGGTTGAGGAACGGGTAAGAGTACAGCTAGCCACTGGTTCCAGTTGAGCTTGCCAATAGTCTGAACACCATCCGAAGGCATGTCGGAAGCGTACATTGTGTCACGAATGAGGTGTTTGGTGAAGATATTGTCCCGGTAAACTTTTGCCAGCCGAACCATGACAACACACTGCAACAAAGCTCCAATGGAACCGACCCACTCTGACAAAACGGGCTGCTTGGATTTGTGTAGCTTGTAGATAATGGCGAAGTTGAGAGCCAGCATATTGTGCGAAAGCTCCGTGGGCAGCATTGCAGCAAAAAAGCTTATCACATTCTGCAGTAGTCATCATTGTCAGGATTCGAAATCCAAGCAGATCAAGCAGTCATCGAATGTACCTCGCGTGGGATGTCTTTGATCTTGGCGCGTCGTAGTAAGTACAGCATACCCAGCATGAGCGACAAATACCCCCATCGCGGAGGAGGGTCTCTTTGCGCCACCGCTTTGATGATCTTCATCTCGCTGCCGCCCACTGGGGCAACCACTGGTTGAACCAGCGTCACTTCCCGCAATGCTGTGCTCGTTCACCGCCCCATGAGATTTTTGGGCCAATCACGCGGGCGGGTATCCAAGCAGAGGATCCCCTCGTAAGTCGGGAAGTTGGCGACTGACAAGCCCTGCGTCGCCCTTTGGGCAACGTCAATAAAAGCGAACGCGCAAAGGAATTATTTGTTACTTCGAAGTATTCAGGAGCCACCACACCGCTCGCGGCCTCATGACTGTTGAAGCTGTCATACAGTTAAATGCGGTCGAGCTTCATTGTTACGTACTAAGTTGTCTACTCCACCTTGATGGTTCGGTAGATCTTGTTCACGAAGAAAAGTGAGCTCTGGAATCCGATAAAGCCCAGCATGACAAAGAAGCAGTACGCCATTATGCTGGTGTAGCCAAAGTAGAATGCTGCCTGGAAGAAGCCTGTCATGTCTGCGATGCTCGTATAGTACCACACACTGTACGCGAGCACGAAGAGTCCCGTCGTTCCGCCCGAGATGTACGACCGCCACCACCAGCGATGGTCCTCAGAAGAAAGTTGGATGTACGTCAACGAGATGGTCGTGAACGCAGTCACGAACACCAGCATGACAAACGACAAGAACAGGATACCAAAGAGCGTGTAGATCGAATGACCCCAGATCGCTGCGAAAATGTGGTGCAGCTCGATGTAAACGGCGCTGAATGGGAGGCACCCAGCTGCGACGATAAGGATAAACGGACTGCGGTAGCCAGGGACGGACGGGATCTCACGCGGAATCTTGTTCGTACGACACGGAGACTTGAAATCGCCAGTGGAATTCCGTCCAGCAACGCCTCCGATAATTGTCAGAGGCAACGCCACTGTGATGAACAACGCGAGCACGATCATGATAGTACCAAAAGGCAGTGCCGCTGACGAATCATTCCAAATCGCCACCGAGTTCAAAAACGAGAAGATAGCGACCAGCGGTCCAGGGATAACCAGGACACACATCAAAATGTTCCACACCCATCGCTGACCTCCAAGCTGACGGTACAATCGAGCAGAATGAAAGCCTCCGACGCCTGCAGTGAGCGCATAGAGCACGATGAATGCAGTCATCATACCGCCGCGCTTGTTCGGCTTAACGATGCCGAGTAATGAAGATGCCAGCGCCACCGAAAGCATCACGAACAGTTGCGCACCGGCACCGTTAAGTGCACAGAAAATGCTCAACTGCGTAGGGAACCGGAATACATCGGCGTGCAAGAGCTTCCAGCCAGAATCGTCCTCTAGTGCATGTTCGTCGCCAGTCTCCAGGTCTGTGTATCGTGAGAAGTCACGCTTGAGAATGCGGATCATCACAATGGACAAGAACCCCGTCAGCATCATCACCAGGATGAACGAGTTAATGACTGAAATCCAATGCAGCTCCAAGTCGTCGGGCTCAACGAGTTCTTTGTCAACGTTGCGGTTCTCGTACAACAGATCGGGGCGGTTGTGCCACTTCACAGAGTACGTGAAGATTGCTTCAGGTGCCTTGGCTATATTATCAGTCGACAATGCGTAGTGGTATTCAAGATCTGGGTCGGAAGATGCCATTGTCATGTTCACAGCCACGATCTGAGCAGCACTAAAGGTTAGCGTTGCTATCCCCCTTTTCAGCCATCGGTCCCCCCACTTACTTTGTTCTTGCCTTCCTCCGCTTCCACGTTGTTGTAGGCGATGTCGAAGTGTAGGTGTGTGTTAAGATAGTAGTGCATCTTCATACCTTCACGTATGCCCTCCTGGATGAGGTATCCCACCTGGCCTCGCAGTCTGATATCGTCTACATACATTTCGAACTCGTAGTTCTCATCCACCGCGTCTTTGAACGACTTCATGACATCTGGAGTCACTGACAGCTTACAGAGCTGCGCGTAGGTCTGGTCCACGCCAAAGTAGAGACGATAATCCGTCACGACCTTGCGACTGCCTGTAAGCAGCTCACCCAGGTCGTGATCGTCCCATTGGCGCTCCTTTGGTTTGCAATATGGCAGCTTGTAATACTGGTAAGTTTCGGTGGGGTTCGCGTATGGTCGGATCTGCAGCAGTAAAAACGGGGTTCAGCCATTGAGAAAAGATGTATGCATATTTGATAAGCCTCGGGCGATAAGCAGAACGTACCGTGTTGGCCACGACCTCGACCTCATCCCTCATCTGGTAGTCGTCATCGGCAGCCACGACGCACAGCGTCGCAGCCACGAGCAGCAGTAGCTTCATCCACATGGCCAGCTTGTCTTGATGAGCCCCAGAGTGACGTTCACTCTGCACCTATTGGTGGAAAATCTGATGTGTCGCATTCTTTTCCGATAGGGCTACACTCCACAGTCGCTTGAATCAGACAGGGAAGAACACATTACCGGTAGCGACGAGGAAGACGCTTGCATATCTGCACCCACAGGTTTTCCAAGCACCTCAGAGCCATGGCTACGACGTCTGCAGTTGCTCGACCAGCTAAAAAGCCCAAGAAAAGCGCGAAAGACGCCCCCAAGCGTGCGTGGTGGTTGACCGACACCCTGCACAGCGATCAGATGCAAGCAGTGGCTTCCAGCGAGACGGAGCTGCTGAACGCTGCTGTGTTATGTGCAGCACTGGCCGCAACCCATTCGGAGCCTTCCGATACCGACAAACAAGTCAATGATCGTGCGGCTCGTGAGCTAGAGATGCACCTGCGCAAGTCGCCGCTACCGCACAGTCTACAGCTGTCCGTGCTGAGGTTCACGCGCGACTACGTGCTCATACAGTCCGACCTGGCGATGATCTGTGCTGTGCGAGCCACGAAGCCTGCCGACATTTTGCAGACGGTGGTCGGATCCGCCGTGCCGCTCTCGCAGCCATACGTGCATAGATTTGGAGGCGCAAGGATCCACGCGCCCTTCTGGACAAGAACGCAGCGACTCGACTTGCAAGAGATTCACCATCAGGCACGACAAGCCAAGAAAATGCTTCTGCTGTGTGGCCATTCCATTGGCGGCAGTATTGCACAGCTGGCCTTCTGCGAACTGGTGTACCAACACTTACCTACGAAGACGCGGTTGTTTCTGGAAAAGCGCGACTATGACCAGCAAAAACAAGACGAGAAGAAAGAAAATAGCACTACGTCAAGTGATGGGTTGAACTTTGGATTGATGGTTCAAGGTACGACTGAGGAAGAGCGCGCGACGATTCTTCGTACGACGCCGCATATGCTGGCGATTGGTTTTGGTGCTCCGTACATTGGATCCACAGGCTTGGTATCGTTTTTAGAACCTCTACAGCTTAGCAAGCGCGTGATCACGTTTGTCAATGAATTCGATTGCATTCCCAGCATTCTCAACGTGGCACAGTCAGCCGCAATGGTAGCAAAGACTACCGAGCGCTTGCTCACGATCACGAAAGCGACGAAGACGCTGGTGAACTTGCTGCCCATTCAAATGCAACAGCGCTTCATCGATTTGGCAGCGACAGCGAACACTGCTACAGTTCCCACTGCCAGTTCGGCGTATTTGTCAATGAGTTTGAACATTCTTCAGAACACTTTCCAGAAATTCCGCGACTACAACATCGTGAAAGAAATTGATTATCAGTATTCTCCGTGCGGGACGTACATTTTCCTGTCCAAGTCCGGGGCTGATTATAAGGTTTACTCCGATCCAAGCGCGATCAGTAAGGCTCTGCACAAAGAAGATGATTCTAACTCTAGTTTGACTGGTAAAGCCATCTTACAGCACTTAATGAGTGCATACGTGGCCGCCGTCGCGCGCCGTTCGAATTCCATTCAAATCAATGCGTCCATGGACTACTATGAGCGTCTTGGCGTCCCTCGCAATGCCACAGAGCGGCAAATACGCAGTGCGTACAAGCGACTAGCCCTAAAGTGGCATCCAGATCGATGGGCGAACAACTCCGCCAATCCACAAGAACAAGCTTCTGCTGAGGAGATTTTTAAGCTGTTGGCGGAATCATACGAGATTCTATCGGAGGCTGAAGCTCGAAACGCGTATGACTCGCATCTAAACGACTCGCCTAGTTTGAAAGACGAGTTTGTGCATCATGGCACGGTGAATGGAATGACTCTGGATGAGGCAATCACCACTTTCCGCGACGTAATTGATAACCTCTCCGGAGCGGTTTCGAAGGTGACGTCGCGCTTTTCCACGCCAAGCTCGACAGTAGTTAACCCTCTACGTACGCCTTCCTCGGTGCGAAGTGGCCTTATCCCAAACAACCATGACAACATCTTCGCTCCAGATCGGATTCGTGTGTCGCGTACAATAGGAATTGGTGCAGACCAACAGGAGCAGATTCTGTATTTGGAGCCTGAAGAAATTATAGCGGGGGATGTGGCTGCCCCTGCTCAGGCAGCAGGAAGGTCTGGTGCGAATGCTGGACTGCGAACAGTTTCCGTTGTGGGTGGTGCTGTCGCTGTTGGAGCAAGCGTGGCGTTAATTGTGAATGCATGGTCGCAGTACTCGGAGATGTCGAGGAAGAGACGTCAGGCAGAAGTGGTGCGAGATATGCCCGCAGATTGCTTGTTGTTATTGCTCGAAGACCACCGCAACACACAGCACTCCGATACAACGCAGCTGCTTCGTCAACAAGCCGATGAACGAAAGAAGAGAAAGGATGCTTCATCGCTAGCTGTAACCGATTCCAGTGAGGTGGATGGGAGCACAGCGAAGCAGCTTTTCGTAAGAGGAGCTCAACAAGCACTCGTCACTATGAAGCAACAGGAAGACGCAGCTGAAGATGAGCTTATTGAAGAGTTCTTTGACTGTGCTACTGAGTATGATAATGCTGCTATGGAGGCGATGGCCGAGGAGGAATTCTTTGACTGCGTTGATCTCATGGACGAGGTATCAGTTCAGTTCAGTGACGACGCACTAGCCGAAGAAAAACGCGCTGAGGAGGAGGCAAAAGCACAAGGCAAAAGTATTATAGTCAGCGAGCAGGTAGTTTTTCCACCCGAATCGACTGTCAGCACTCCATTTGGTCTGGCGACTGTGCACGACTGGAGAGAAGGCAGGTTGTCGGCTATTGTACAATTTGCTTCTTGTAAGTTCATGGTTGGCTACATTCAGAAAACGGATATCTCGCGCGGTGCGTCACTGGTTAAGGCTGCAACAAGTGAGCTCGTAGAGTCCAAGAGAGCAAAACTAGCGGATCGCGTGGTGGCTCGCTATCGTTTGGATGCTGGCGAAGCGGGTAGTACATTGAAAAGTCTGGTTGCTGCAGGTGGAGATGGCGCATTGGACAGTGGCATCCGTGCTGCTGGCGGTGTAGCGCTGGCAAATGGAATGGCTAGGACTTCTTCAGCGTTAGGCGGTGCGGTGGCTGCTCCACTTACGATCGCGTCAATTCTCGTCGACATAGGAAAGGAATACTACGACTATCGCAAGAGATATACCGACCGAAAGTCTCTAGGTGTGCTCTCTACAACCACCGAGCAACTAATGATGCATGATTTCCGACTGAAAACCGGCGAAGTCATCGCTAGTCGTACAGCAGCGGCGGCAGGAGCAGGTATTGGCGCGTACAGTGTGGCCTCAGCGCTGGGAATGTGGAGTACAGCTGGGCTTGCGGCTGGTCCAGTGGGCATTGTGGCCGCCACCAGTGCAGCCGTTGTTGGAGGAATGTTAGGTTTCTTTGCAGGATCCAAGGCGTATTCTGCATCTACGGCGGGCTATTTTACAAGCCAACAGAACGCGAAAGAACACATCGATCGTCTAGAGCTTGGAGCGCGTATTTTGTTCGACGAGTTTGACCCGGATGCCACGGGAACTATCTCGAAGGAAGACTGCATTAAGCTCATGAAGAAGCTTTATGATGCGATGGGTTCTATCTCTGAGACGGGGTATGAAAGGACGATGGCTGTGATTCAAGACGAGAACTTTGAGGGGCCGGTGACGTGGGGCATGTTCTGGGAGTGGGTGAGCACAGAAGCAGCTCGAGCGCTTCGTGAACTAGAGCATGAAGAGTCGAAGATGTTATCCGAACCTGTGGTGGGTGAGACGTGGTGGAACAGCTACATGAAGTACTTCTCATACTTGAACTCGAAGAAAGCTACGCCTTTACTGGCAGAGCCGCAGGCTGTGATGTATCCATCTGTGTTCGCAACGCTGGGTGTAGGCGTGAAGGGCACTGGAGCATTATCGGAGGGTGCAGAGTTACAAGCTGACGAAGCTGAGGAAGAAAGCTTGATAATGAAGGCACAAGTCGAGTTTCTTGTGAACAATGGCCATTTAACAGTCGGAGATGCCTTCCAGCTCCGTGAGCAATTGGCGTCCGACGATTTGGTGTTGAAGGAGTCCGCACGGAAGACTATTGCTGCCATGCACGAGGGTCTTTCGGACGCTGGTCCGGACCAGAATCTTGTGTGTGATGGATTCGGCTTTACTGGCGGCGACACCATGGAACTGCCGGCTGATGAACCGGAAAAGGAGAATGATACCACGCGGACAAAGACCGCTACTTCTGGAGCCACGGATGAGAAAACGAAGGCGAGTCCAGATACCGATGAGCGACTAGATGTCATGTGCTCTTTGATGTCTACGCAAGGTCTGCAGCGTTTCTTACAGCGGCAAAATGTCCTCGTCCCTACCGGAGACAATGCTGCAGTACGCCACGAAGATTTGCACTGCTTAGCACTCATGGCTGCAGCCCCCGCCTCGGCATCGGCAGCACAGTCAAACTAAGCGTGTTCACTCCACGTTGAGATCGCTCTTGCTAATATAATTCAAATGAAAATATATGAATGAATGCAGTTACCGTTGTGTCAAGGTGTCAACGTTGTCATTGATGAGGTGAGATTTCAATGCACGTTTAGATAACAGTTTGCTGTATCACAAGCGTCATCGGCTTTACGCCTTGACTTTTTTCTTCATTCAGTCGCGGCTGTGGCAGTTTAGAAAATAGAAAGCTTCACTTCCATCGCCTCGTGAACACGGAACGTATTCTCAGGGTGCTCGTTGGGGTCTGAAATAACAATTTCCAACATGAATGAGCTTTACATGCATCCTTGAATAAAACAGGAAAACGACACACACCGTTGAGGAAGTCTGTGAACTCAATCTGTTCGTCGGCACCCGTCAGAGTGTCCAGGCCAGCATGCGAGCTTGGCAGACCCGGAAGACGCTGCATAACAGGAAACAACCATGAGCAGACTGATTTGTCTTTGAATCTAGAGCTCTCGCAGCTTTTATCTCACCGTAAACTGTTCAAGTACGGCCTTTTCCGAGCGCAGACGCATGGCCGCCGCCTTGCCGTAGACCTGTTCCACCGTCGCCATCTTCAGCTCCCAGTTGGACTGACGGTGCTGCAATAGCAACAAAAAATCAGTATCGTGCAATCAACAGACACCGATTTACTCAACGCACCGTCGTCTGCAGACGCTGCACCTCGTGCACCGGTCGCACGTCCTCGCTGGCGCTGTAGAAGCCAAAGCGCAAGGCGTCAGGGGGCGCACGCACAAGGGGGAGGCTGGACTGGTTCTGTTGATGAGGAGACGGGATACATACAAGACACAAGAGGTCAGATACATATAGCGATCGCTCTCGTCATCGCTGCTACGCCGCACCATGTTGATTTAATCCGAGCTGTATGAGCTTCTCCGGGAGATCCAAAATGGGGGATCCAAGTGTGCATTTACCTATCTTTTATCATTCTCTATGCTGTTTCATAGGAAAGTCGATGTAGCCATTTGTTTTGAAACTTGACCATGGCGCACGACGACGAGTTTGGGCTCAAGCGGTCTTCGGGGGTAGACTACAGCCAAGTGCGGGATCGGCAGATCGACGACCACCGCTTTGAGAGGCAACGCTCCATCCGAGCGGCCTCATCAGCGGTACGCAGGCCTATCACCAGTCTGTACCCAGTCAAATGTCATTTATCAATCACTTGTTGTCTTCCAGCCACCTGTAGAGCAACCCAACCATGCCGCAGCTCAAGTTGCAGCCCCGCAGTCCGCCACCATGGACGCATTCATGCGGATGATGACGGGAAAGGAAGAACGCACTATTGCCGACCGAATCAGTGATCCAAACCGGCCTACATGGGAGCAGTACAAGAAGGAGAACGCTGACAGATTGGATCTTAGTGGCAATGGAGAGAAGGAGATGAAGGCGTACAGGAAGAAATTGGATGCTGCTAGGGAGAAGGTGAGGGCTACTAGCCCAGTAATTGCAGTGGTGGAGACACGAAGTTCTGAGTGTGTTGGTTGATGTTGGAGCAGAAACTCGCTGGATCCGGTAGCTCCAAGAAGCGGAAGAAAAAGCACAAGAAGCGATCGCGCTCTTCGTCATCGGATGAGTCGAGTAGTGAGGACGAGCGTCGACGGTCCAAGCACAAAAGTCGCAAGAAAAAGTGAGTTTTTCTTGTGCAGGTGACGACATGGTCATCAGCCTCTGACGTTTGAGATTCCCTTGTAGGAAAAGCCACAAGCGTCGACGGAGATCTCCCGACTCGGACAATAGCGATTTAGACTCGGACGACGATCGCTCTCGACGACGCAAGCGCTCGAAGAATAGCAAGAAATCGTCGTCGCGCAGGAAAGATCGGGACGCTTCGCCCTCACCCGTGCGTCTGTCCTCCTTTCTGCAGCAATCGAGCGATGATTCGGAAGACGAGTCTTCATAGCGGACGATCAGCGACGTCAACGTCGCAGGGTCATCGCCGTCAGGTCCACACTCATGCTTTTAGCTTAAAGCACTGCTTTTTAGACTGTTCATACGTTTATACAACGAAACAACACAGCTGGTATCTTGAGTCAACCGCATCTTTGCTCAATCTGTATCATTGCCGTCGCGTTCATCTGTCGCAGTCACTTGCGAACCTGCGCGATGACCGACACCGAGAACAGGAGGAAGTTCATGGAGCTGCTGCGGCAGGGCGTGCTGCACAAGGTCCAGCAGCAGCAGCAGACCAAAGCGGTCTTGTCATCAGATTCCGCGGGTAAAGAAGAAACTCTTCAAACTGAGACGACCGATGAAGTGCGACGCGCCTCGCTGCCTGAACGCGGCATGAGCGCTGCGAGTATTGCAGCGTGGCAGACACTGGCGTGGCGAGACGCTTTCTCCATGGAGCCATATTTCCACGAGACTGTAGACGGTAGACCGCTGCGTATCAAGCAGGTGCTGCAGGGAGAGCTCAATGGTTTCGGTACCGGCCTCACTGTGTGGCCTGCTGCCTGTGTGCTCTTGAAGCACTTGGAACACCGAGCCACTTCCAACCCTAGAGCTCTGGTGGATTCCGTCAGCCCATTCGTGCTGGAGCTGGGAAGTGGAACGGGTGCGGTGGGGATTGCGGCGGCGATGCTGCTTCGAGCCGGAAGAGTCGTGCTCACGGACATGGACAACGTCCGCTTCATCATGCAGGAGAACGCAGACTTAGCACGGCAAGATGGTGCGATTAATAGCCATGTCAGGGTTGCTGTTGAAGCGTACGAGTGGGGGAAGTCTCCGTCTGAGAGCCTCATCGCGCCGCACGAGAAATCCTATCCAGACCTCATCCTAGTGTCGGATTGCATCCTCCCAAGACTGTACCCGATTGAACCGCTTGTGGAGGCATTGGCACTGCTCAGTAGACCACATACCCGAATCATTATCTCTTATGAACACCGTCATTACCAGCACTTCCAGCCCAAGCAGAGATTCTGGGAACTCATGGAGGCAAGGAAGTTCTCGTTGAGGGTGATCGACTCAGACGAGTATCATCCGCATTTCGTTGCCTCAGATATTGAAGTGTGGGAGATCACTCCACCCGCACAAGAGTAGTTATGATATCATTTAGTATAAACGTGTCATGTAAATATTCACTTCAAAGTCTTCTCGGCTCTGTTTGTGCTCGATGGAGCCGGTGGTACCGCTGAAGCGAGAGCGAGACAATGAAGATCTTCGTGGCGAGTCAACGTCTCTTCTTCTGGAACAATGTACTGCGTCTCAAGGAAGCGTTTCAGCCCATCCGTCGACATCAGAGAGCACATGACATCGAGACGTGGGTCAACCTGCGGCTTCGGACCTTTCTTCTTCTTCTGAGAGGACGGGGCAAGTGGTGGCAGCTTCGACACGTTTTTCGACTGTGACGACGTGACCTGCTCGCTATTCGAATCCACTGGATTCAAAACTGCCACTGCATTGTCGTCCGCCGTCTTGCTTCCGGTCTTGGCACGAGGAAATAACTCGAACTCGCCTAAGCTTTCAGATTCAGGCTCGGCATTTATCTGCTCGGATTGCAGAGCAGCGACGATTTCGCGAGCTGACACCTGCTCGACCGGGTCGTTCGAATCCAACTGCGAGTACAGCGAATACGCTTGTCCGGCAGTCAGATAGTTGCTGTGGACAAGTGCCTCAACTGTCGCCTTCACTTCATCAAGATTGTCCTCCTCACCGGGGAGAACGGGGGCAAATGCAGCTCGAGCATGAATTTCTCTTTCGACTTCTTCAACATCCAATCCATTGGAGCTGGTACTGTCGCGTTCGCTTTCGTCTTGGTGATGCTTATCGAGGTGTTTTTGCTTTGCCTCTCGAAGTTTGCGCATCACTTTATCACGTTTTCTTTCGCCTTCACCGTTTTGAATTGGCTTTAACTCGTGGTGCTCGAGGCTTTTTAGCGACCTCGCGGCTTCCGTGCTCACCCATATCCAAAACATTCGCCACGTCACTGGTCCTTCAAAGCTAGGGTCTTTAATCGCTTCAACGCTCGCCTCGTACGCAAAGTCCGATGTGTCTCCGGAGATCTCATACAGTTTCTGCATAATGGAAAGACACGCTTCCTTGGAGATCTCGCCAGTACCAGCCGGATCATGCTCTTCAAATAGCACACGTGCACCAAGTTCCAGGCGATCAATGTGCTCCTTTGCATGCTTCTGACTTTTAAAGTAAGAAGCAGTTGAGAGCGAATATACCTTGGCTCCACCAAAGTAACCTGCAACGCCGCCGACAACAGCAGCACTCGTCGCTGCCACAATTCCAACGGGTCCAGTGGCGACACCTGCTGCAGCCCACATCGTCATTGCAGACGCTACGCCGTACGCACCTAGACCGGCACCAGCTGCGGCCGTCGTGCGGCTTACAACCACCTCACCAGTTTTCAATCGAAAGTCCCGCCGCATTAGTCGCTCACTTGTCGTCGAAAGCACCCCGAGCTCTTTTCGCTCCGTGTGCTTCTTGCGGTAGTCGTAAAACTCTTTTCCAATATCGACAAGAATGGATGCGACAGCTAGAGGAGCTGCCACCATACCGCCAAGAGCAGTCCCCGATCTTGCCACTCCGTTGGCCAGTGCCAAACCACCCGCAGCACGAAGTCCACTATCGACAGCACCTCCTGCACCCGCAAGCGCCACATTCGTGATTTGATCTCCGGTCTTGGTCTCCTCCAGTCCATAATTTGTGATCACGCGCTCTGCTAATTCTGCTCTTCTCTCCTCGACCACAACGTGCGTCAACTCGCGGGCCGTGGACGCACCTCGACTGATTTCCTTCTTGTCAATGTATCGAAGAGTCTCGCCTTCGAATCGAAGCGCTGCTACAGCAGTGTTCTCCCGCCAATCCTCAACCTCACCAAGTCCATAGGGAGTGTCCACCTTGGACCCTCGCGGGAACCTCACACAGATCTTTCCTTTTCCGTGTGGATGACGAAGCTTCTCGTGCTTTTTGGCAAAATGGTGATCAATGTCTTGGGCAACCTCCACACAATCGAAAAACTCCTCTTCAGCCATGGCTTCGACAACCGCGTCTTCCTCAATAGCAGCGCACTCGAAGAACTCTTCAATAAGTTTTTCATCTTGATCTTGTTCTTGATCTTTCTGGGTCAGCTCAACAATGGCGCTTTGGGCTTCTTTAGCAAGATACGGACTAGTATCGCCAGAATCGCGCTTCTCATGGTAGACGGAAGTACTGGCAACCGCGAACGCCTTGATCTGTCGAGCTTTAGATTCCTGAAGAAGTTGAATGCTTGGTGTACGGCTTTGTCTCCGATGAACACGGGTGCGGTCTTCTATAAGCAATACCAAGCAATCCCCTGGCATGTCACGCACAGCTGCAGCTTGGCGTTTCTTCCGAGAAGCCTCCGAGAACTGAGACCACGCACTCACGATGATTGCCACGCTAGCAGCAACTGCCACAGCCCCTCCAACGACGGAGACTGTCTTCAAACTTGTACTGGTCGACTTTGAGCTCGAGCTGATGCTGTCACTGCTGCTACGTGTGTCGATTGCTTGTGTGGAGATTTCTGTATTCTTGTTGGCTACGACCTCCCCCGTTTTGCTCAGGACATTCGAGGTCTCTGACGTGGAAGTTGGTACTCCAGTCGATGACGCAGGAGCTGCGCTCGAAGTTGACGAGACCCCACTTGATCCAACCCGTGCAGTAGATGATACCTGTTGAGTAGCACTAGATGAAGCAGGAACAGTAGCTATACCAGTCGAGGCATTTTCAGTTGTTACTGAGAGATTGGTTGACGAGCTTGTCGAGTGCCCACTAGAAGCAGAAGTCGTAGCTGGTGGCTTACCTCCGTTGTGCTGAAGCGGGTGCCCGACTGTGGTAGAGCTTGACGAGCTGAATCGGTCAGTCACGCGGTGGAATTGGCTGGAGATGTTGTCCACGGCGTCCTTGAAGGTAGAGATCGCCTCGTCAAGCGTAATACCATCCACAGTGCCGTACTGCATAAATTCCTCTCTACGGCTTGGGGGTCTGTTCAAGTACGAATCATAAGCACGACGGCTCTCCTGATTCGAGAGTACTTCGTAGGATTCTGCCAACAGCTTGAAAATATCTTCCGCCACTTCTTTCTGCTGGTCAGTGAGAGACCCGTGCGCAACTCGATCGGGATGCCACCTAAGTGCGAGAGCTCGGTATGATCTACGGATCTCGCGGTCGCTTGCGTTCCGGGCCACGCCTAGTCGTTCGTAATGGTTCATCGTCGCATTGATCTGGATGGATCTAGATCGCCTAGCGACAGCATCGACGTAAGCACTCATCATGTGCTGCAATATTGAATTTCCCGTGAAACCAGTGGTAGCTTCGTCTCCATCCTCACCTAAGGCCTTCCGGATCTGCACCGGGTCAGCGAAGATGTTAAACTCCGCGCTCTCTTTCGACATGACAATATAGCTCCCACATGGAGCATACCTATAGTCGACTGTCTTAACGATATTGAACTCGCGTAGCTTGTCAAACGATTTCTGCAACATAGTAATGCTCATCGACAGGTACGCTGATGTAGCGCTAGGCACACCCGTTGCGTTAGCACCTTTTGCCGTGTCTGGCAAATCTCTGGCTGCATTCATGCGCCGCAGCCAGGTTGAGCCACGCTTTCGTAGCCTTTGCGATGGTCACCAGCCGCTCAGTCGTTTTGGCAAGCATTGCTGCCGAGTGTGCAATATTGAGAATTCCAGGGATACAGTCAAACTCGTTGACTATAGTCACTACTCGGTCGTTCATTCCTAGAGGTTCCAAGAAGGCGGTGAGTGCGTCATTACCAGCATACGGCGCTCCAAATCCAACGACCATTGCCACTGGAAGGTGCTGGAGTGCAGCCTCGCGGTCACTATTCCTGACTTCCTTCATCCATTCAGCCGGTTCATTCTTCTGCTTTCTGTGTTTGCGAAAGTGCTTGTCTTTTTCATCAGCTTTCGGCTGAGCCGCATCGAGCTTTGTGAGAATCTTTCGCATGCTCTCTGGTAAACGGGAGCGCACCAGTTCACAAAACGCCAGCTTAGCGATACTCCCACCAATTGAGTGTCCACAGAGCAGCAGGACTTTGCCCACTCGTTGAGCCTGTTCGTACAGGTTGGTAAGGTCCAGTCGCTGCACGCGCTTCCAGAATGGCGCGTGCACGCGAGACCCACCAAAGCGGTGCATGTACGGCTCAGACAGCGGCACGGCCGATCCCACCACGGCTTGCATGATGTCACTCGGTCTGGTGGCGCGCATGGCGCAGATGACAGCGCCTTCCGACTCCACAAGCACGTAGTCTGTCGTATATTCGAGTACCGGCAGCTGCAGCGTATGCGGTAGCGGCGACTTGCGCACATGCATCTCCAACTCACGCGCAGCACGTGCGTTAACCAGTGCATCAGTGGCGGAAGGAGATGCTTTGGTGGAGGACAACGCGGCGCAGAGCACAGCAGCGCTCAAGAGCTCGGCTTCATTGTAGGTAACTGATTGGATGGCACTCTGGCGACCGTTCCCGCTGCGCCACCACCACGCTGGGTCTGCCTGCTGCTGGCTTTGATCCTCGCTTGTCTGCGGTGCCATAGTGCTTGACGGTAAAAGCGCAAATGAAGCCATCATCGTCGAGATTAGGCTGAAAATCTGATTTTCATGGATTTTCTCTATTCACAAGCATTCTTACATCCTGTAAATTGGTATAACTTTAGACAGGATGTGGAAAAGCTGCGCTCAGATGCTCATTTAGTCGTCGATCAGTTAATTTTTTTTTACGTAAATGCTACAGTCCCAGTTTCAGGTGTAGAAATAAACCAAATATACATCCGAGTATTGTCCATGTTGTAATTTACAGCCTCGTATTTTATAAAATACCGTCAAGTATTGTATCGCTCCACGCCTGCCTTTCATTTTAGCTTTTTGAGGTTCCTAGTCTGTGCCGTTTCCGTAGCTCCTCTCGCTCGCTCCATTTTCACCCCTGCTCGTCTCGAACATCTCCTGACGTATCAGCGCCATTGCCCCCCCCCCCGTTGCAAACGCTGCCATCGCCGCCCATGCAGTCCGCACCACCCGCTTCATCTGCGTCTGCCTAAGGTGCGTGTACATGCAACTCCACTTATTTTACGGGACTAACACTGTGTTATACTTGCGTGTATCGCGTAGCGTAAGTCCTCTGGTGAGTCGTCAGGCGTTCCCTCGACGGCTTGCCGCCACGTAGTATCTGGCATGGAGTCTTCTTGCGAGGCTTCTGAAAACATAGACAATGGGAATCATCCACGTATTGTCCAGGTACTAAAGACACCCGTGGTTGTGCCTGGTCCGGTTCACTCTCCATATCCAAGTTGGGCTGCGTGGACAGCGTACCTGAAGGATTATGCCTTGCAGACGCGTCAGATCATCCGGGTCTTTGGAATACTAAGTTGCGAGTTAAGGAACAAGCGGCTGGCGAATACTGTGGCCGCCAAGAATGGTTTAGACGTGCCGTACGTGCCTGAGGACTGAATCATGTACATGCGTACATACATCTGCACTCATGGCTGGCCTGCAAAGATCCGAACAGCCGGTAATCGCCCCAAGCACTTCGTCCGCTCGACAGGATGCAAGTTTCGTTTCGTGGTCCAAATGGTGGAGGAGCGGGGTGTGTGGGTGCTTCGAGTACAGAATGGCCGCTACCAGCACAACCACGCAGTAGCCACTGCGCATTTCTTGACGTACGCAGAGGATCGAAAGGTTGTTTGTGCGGACACAAAGGACGCTGTCAATACTATGGTTAATCATGGATGCAAACGCGCCCGCATCTACGAGTATCTTCTCGCGAGAGGAGAGCACTTGGTTAAGTAAGACGTGCGACAACTTGGGCCAGCGTTTTAAGAGTGAGGCTCGTGGTGGGATTGACGATGACGATGCTGTAGCGCAGTCCCTCGCTGAGTTTGCCGCACAAGATTATAACGTTGTTACGGTGAATGAGACTGACGCGGGTCACTCCGGAGTAATGAGCATGACGTCTCGGCACCAGTGGGAGATGATCACGCGCTTTCCAGAGCTTTTGCTGGTAGATTGCACCCACAAAACCAATCGGTACGTGTATTGTTCATGTATTCTACATGTTTTTTTATTATTTGGTCCAAGTATTGGACCTAATGAATCTTCACGTGTGCTCCTTGATTAGCGAGTAGTGTTCTTAAGATACAAATACCAGCTGTGTACTTTGATGGCAGTCGATGACAAGGATCGAGGGCAGCCTGTACAGCAATCACTACTAGAACGTAATGCTAACTGGTATATGTCGCGTGCCTTGTACTCCGACTGGATCCTGCTATTGCTGACAATGTCCAGGTTATTATGGCTGACAAGGACCTGAATGAGATCCGAGTTCTTCGCACCTACTTTCCTAACGCCCGAGCTCTCATATGCTTCTTTCACGTTATAATATATGTTCGCACGTCTTCGCGGAAGCCCGAATATGGCAAGATATCGTCCGACGACCATGATGCAAAAGACACATTAGTGCATAATATGGTGTATGCAGTAAGTGAGGAAGTCTACCAGAACAATTGAATATCGATGAAGACCCTCTGTACCAGAACTGGGTTCACCTCGTTTTACGAATACATGGACGAGAACTGGAACAATTGCACGGACATGTGGGTTATGTATAAGCGCGCTCGGTTGACGCACTTACGCGTGCATACCAACAATCATTTGGAAACCTGGTTTGGTCACCTCAAGAATGCTGTACATCACAATATGACCATGACCGATACGGTGAAGGCGCTGAAGGCAGCTGATGACAGGACTCGCAGTGAGTACGTGTTTGACAAGACCCGTATCGGTGTTCTTGTAAATCGAAATTACGATGAAGAGATGAGCCAAGTTCTAAAATTTACGTCCCACTTCGTCGCGGAACACGTGGAAAAGGAGTATGTTAATGCTATCTCGAAGGTGGATATTTTCAAGTTCGACACGAAATCGAAACCGGGTTTTGTGGCGGCCACCGGGAAACACAAGGTACATTTCGTGCAACTAGATACGTGGAACTGCACCTGTTCGCTTGCATGTGTTATGAGACTGCCGTGCCAGCACGCCATCTCGTACCGAAAGTGGTGTAAAGTAGGTGGATCCATCATTCCGCTTAATAGGATCGATGAAAGGTGAGTTGTTTTTCTCGATTCATCTGTGATTAATCTATGATTCATCTATGATTCAACCATGATGTATCTATGAATTAATTATGATTTATCCATGTATCATTCATGATTCGACCAAGTTACACTAAAAAAAACTGTGTTATGATATATGAGCAGGTGCTTGCACCCCGTCGATCAGTCCGTGATCCCACGACCTTTTGTGGTCAATGAGCTCAAGCCTGAACAATGGAAACAAAAAGCCCTCGATGCTGCCACCAAATACAAGGAGGCACTCAGTGCGACGCAAGCCATATGTAGCGAGCTCGCTGATATCGAAAGTGACGACGAGTATCACGAGCTGTTGCAGTTTGTCCTCGACCAGTGGAGGAATATCCGACAGCGAAGACCGAATCTGCGAACGAAGGAGTACACGAGAAAGATGCAGACGCTGTCGCGTCTCCACCAATCCTGAGGCTACACGACTGCGTGACCAACGCGTGTGCCCATGTGGCGAATCAGAAAGCGAGTATTGATGAAAATGGTGAGGAGGACAGAAATCCTCCTGCTTTTCGAATTAATTGAAATCCAAAGGCTGCTAAGCGTGAACGACCTCGATCCAACAGGAAGGATAGAAATGCCGAAGACAAGAAGAAGCGGGCCATATTTAACGAATCGGAAGACCATCGTCGCCGCATGGGCGAGGTCTCTCTGGTCCAGCTGGCGTGCAATCTACACGAAGAAAAGCCGTGTATGCAGGAGTTCCTGAGTCGTGTGCAGCCAATTCCAATCAAGTACGAGCGGGCGGTCAACATAAAGCCCAAATACGTTCGTCTCAGCGTACCGATACTCAATGAAGCCGCGTTTTACCTCCTCCCGATGCAATTGCTGCAGAAGTGCGTCTCCGCGTTGCCTGTGAAGAATACGCGATTTCAATCTTCTCTCAGAGCCAGTTCACAAGACAGCCAGTCAACACAAGACAAGGAAGTTGGAGAAAACAAACCTGGACAAATCATGGATAATCCTGGAAAAATCCCAGATATTGAATGTGTGGAAATCACTGGAATTGGTATATTCTCACGAGTACAAGCGTACACGAGTACGCTTTGTCTCACGAGTACGCTTGTACTCGTGAGAACATACCAATTTCAGTGATTTCCGAGACACCGGTGGCTCGGCGTCGTGGGACCAAAGCACCTCGCGTCATCAAGATCCCTTCCCAGAACTTCCCGTTGTCCCACGAGGACTGTCGACAAACGAAGTGAATTCTTCTTTTTAGTATAAAAGAAGTAGTGCAGTGTATGTATGGTCGAGAAGGTGTTACATCTCTCTTCCAGTTAGCCCTCAGTCTTATATTTCCCTCCTTCTACTCAAGCGGAAGCCAAGCCAATAAACCAACTTCTATTACAACTTACAAGTGTTCCTATCTACCGTTCCTGCAGCCACTAAACAAGACCGTACTGTGAAGCGATGCTTTACCTGACTACCATGAAGAATCAGTGCGAGCAAGGGCTCGCATTCTGCAAGTGGCTGATGGAGGATGTCGTCAGTGTTGTACGAAGTGCTCTACATCCAACGCTACAGGAGATGACAGATCAAGTTGCGCGCTCAAATTCCCAAGACAGCATCCAAATTGAAGGTCATGAATATCACTACGCCATGCTATTCCGTATGAAGCCCCCATCCTGGGCAAATGACGCCCTGATTCTCGCATTCTGCGCCAGACTTTGTGCAACTAATTCAACGGCTTATGTAGTTGGAATCGAGAATGCTGTGACGGGAAGGAAAATGAAGACATTTACAGAAACGATCAAGGCAAAGGCGCAAATGCTGAAGAGTTGTGCCGAGACTCTGTTCATCCCAGTCAACTTCGGGAACACACACTGGTGTGGTATCATTGTGAACGTCAAGGGAAACCAAGTAATGTACTACGATCCCATGAACCAAAAGTCTTACAAGGGCGTACTGGACCGAATGTCGTGGGATTTGGCCGAAACGCTGAGCGATGCCTACCAGGTACTGGCTATCAACTCGCCAATCCAAACAGACGGTCATAACTGTGGCTTCTACGTCATACTCAGGTTCTGGCGTTACGTCGACACAAGTCTCTTGTTAGACTTGACCCAGACTGGTCTCACACTACTGCGGTTCCGCATCCTACAATTCCTGCTAAAGGGTAGCATTTCAATCTGACTCACTCAATCGAATTCGTTTTTACTCTATCGATCTGGTGTATGTCATATCTTCTTGTGTGCACTATGTCTACCCGTACCTGTGTGCACTATGTCTACCCGTACTTGTGTGCACTATGTCTACCCGTACTATGTTTACCCGTACAATACATGGAACGGTACATGGATGGAACATGGATTAGTCGTTATTTCTCACTATCGAGGCAAAGACATTCGCTTCAGGATCGATCCGAATCACTTGATCTCAATATGAATTTTAAATTACAAGATCGGTAATTTATGGACAATACTTGGTTGAATACTTGGATTATTTCTATAGCTGATACTGGGACTGTAGCATCGTCCTTTTTTAATTTAAGAAAGTGAGGTTTAATAACAACAAATTAAAAACTCGGTAGGCACCTCACTAGTCGTCCAACGGTCCCATCCCTGTATGACTAAACAACTGAGTTCACACAGTCACCAATACAGAGCACTAAGCTTATTAATACTCGCCTACCGGGGTAAGCAGCCACCTGTCGTTTTAGTAGACATGAGGCGTCCGAAGGCCTCCCCAGGAAACACCACAATAAAGTAAGTGGAGCCCATCCAAATTTGAAGTAGAACTCACAATACTTCTCCGAAATGAATGACAGGTGAGCCCTTCGGTAGTCATAGCGTCGGGAACCAGCATTATATGGGGTATTCTTGTTGTGGGGTGGATCAGCCAGGTGTACTTCGAAATGGTACATGACTAAGCCAACCAAGCACTCCATTTCAATATTTGCTTTTGCGGTCCTCCCGGGGTATCTCTCATTCTTCAAATTTCCAAACTAGAGCCCCCTTCGCGCGGCTCTACCACCTCGGCCTCACCAGTCCGCCCACTTCCCACCCAGCTCTCACTTACAACCGACCCAACGTCGAGCATCCCAC